GGCCTCAGGGCTCCGTCCGTCCGTCTGTACGGCGGGGGCCGCGCCTCCTCTGTTCCGTCGCCTCAAAACCCCACAGAGAACCCCAAAGGCCGAAGAGGTTCCACCGGAGGAGGCCAGAAATCAGGTGGAAAAATCCCGGAAATGCTTTCCTGCCGGTCTCTCCGGAGCAGGACACCGCGCACGGCCGTCTGGGTAATGTAGTTCCAGGCGGTCCAGAAGCCACAGGCTCGCTATTGTGGGTAACTGCAGCAAACTCTCCACTCTGACCCCATCCACCTGGAGACCCGTTGCGGGCTCAGCCCCACAAGTCTGTGCACAATCCTCTCCTTAAATGCAAGTGGCAAGTCCACATGTTATCTGTGCTTTAGAACAACAGGCTACTTTTAAACATATATGTTGATTTTTTTATGTTTTTTTTTAGAACATCTTAAATTTTTTTTATACTTTATTGATTTTTTTACAGAGAGGAAGGGAGCGGGATGGAGAGTTAGAAACACCGATCAGCTGCCTCCTGCACACTCCCTACTGGGGATGTGCCCACAACCCAGGTACATGCCCTTGACCAGGATTGAACCTGGGACCCTTGAGTCCGCAGGCTGACGCTCTATCCACTGAGCCAAACCGGTTAGGCTCATAGTGAAATATTGACTTCCCTCTGCACACCACCTACTGGGGATCAAGACCCCAATTGGGCATTGCTCTGATTAGGAATTGAACCAGTGACCTCTTGGTGCCTAAGAAAATGCTCAATCCATTGTGCAACACTGTCCAGGGTTGGAGGCCTTTTATTGCCCATCTAGTGCAGCAGTTATGTCCCTTGTATAGATTGGTAAAGAAAGGAGTCATATGGGGTTGGAGACAAGAGCACACAGATGCCATTAGTGGGCCAAAGAAAGAGAAATTATAAGACATGAAGTAAATTCACAGTGACAGATACTGGTAATTCTATAACTATAGTGATGGTTTCAGTGCCATGCATATGTTGAGACTCATCAAATACTATAAATGAAATATGTTCTTCACTAAGTAAACCTTTTGAAAAATGGTTCAAAAATTTTAAAAAGTTTTGTATGTCCAACTTTTAGAAAATAGGTTTGGCATCTCTCTACTCAATCCAGGTTTTCATAGCCTCTGGAGGTCAAATATTGTTTCAGTGACATCAAATATACCAAGGAATGAGGGACTTTCATCAAAGTCAACAAAAATACTGGCTGGGGTTGCCGAAACCGGTTTGGCTCAGTGGATAGAGTGTCGGCTTGCGGACTGAAGGGTTCCAGGTTCGATTCTGGTCAGGGGCATATACCTGGGTTGCGGGCACATCCCCAGTGGGAGGTGTGCAGGAGGCAGCTGATCGATGTTTCTCTCTCATCGATGTTTCTAGCTCTCTATCTCTCTCCCTTCCTCTCTGTAAAAAATCAATAAAATATATTAAAAAAAATACTGGCTGGGTCTCAAAAGCTACATCCTTGGTCTATAGATACCACTTTTTCTTTTATCTTTCATTTCCTTCCTAGGCACTATGACCATTAAGCAAACATCTAGTAAGGTACAGAAATCCACAAAACCCTTTATTTTCAAGGACAAAGATTTTGACCACAGAAGATAAACATGTCTGGAGATCCTCCTATTTGTGAATTCACTGATCTCATCTTTTTCACAGAAATGTTTCTGAATTCATGTACAGAAGAGGCAGATCCCATATAGCTTGCTACAGGATTCTCCAATTCCGATTGGGCTAGTGAGTCTGTAGCAATCATTCTGTAACCAATATGGTTCTAAAACCAGTGATCATCACCCATGGAATTGTAGAGATTAAGACAGTTGGCCCATTGTAAAACCTTAAAGAGAAATCCCATTCACATGGACTGGCATAGCCCTGGCCTGTGTGACTGGTGAGAGCATCGGCCCTGATTTCCATGTGTTTTGGGTTAGATTCCCACTCAAGTGCACAAAAATGAGTTGCAGGTTCAATGGATGTGTCTCTTTCTCACACCGATTTTTCTCTCTCCCTCACTTGTTTCCACTGTCTCGAGATGTCAATGGAATAGATGTTGCCACGTGATGATTTACAACAACAAAACCCCCCGCCCCGCAGTCCCAGGTGCCTGCAGCTGCGGCCTGGGTGAAGCTGCCGCTCCTAGAAACAGGTGAAGTTGTCACCCCAGTTAAGTTTTGAAAGTGATGTCTAAGTCTTCGAAAACTCATAGGATTCAGGCTTATCATGAGTACTGGAAAACTCTGCAGTCTTTCCTAAAAGGAAGGGGGTAAGCAATGCAAATTCGGTGAAAAGTGCTGAGCTAATTCCCCCATCATACTCTACCCTTGGAGGTAGAGAAAGGTTTAGACCAGAGTAAAAATTGTTCATGTCTTCATACTTGTAGAGCCCAAATAGGCTTACAAACTACCCCACAAAGAAAACATCCAAAATTAGAGAGGATTTAAAACAAAAGGTTTTTTATTATGTTAAAAACCCAAAGGACATCGACCCAAGCAATCTTCTGATAGTGACATCGATAGTGGTAATATTCACCAAAGGTATCTACAAAATTATCAATCATGTTCTTAAAAATACTTCTTTTTTTTTTTTTCCTGGAAGCTGCCAGCTGAACTCAGATGATGTTCTCTGGGGTCAATAATGGGTAAGGTCCCAAACAGAGCAAATGAAATGCAGATCTCCTAAGGGCTCACCGTTACTCCTAATTTCCTTTAACTAATAAGAGAACAAAATCAGCTTACCTGAGGACAATAGGATGGTGACTGATGAAAACTGTGGGGACCTGGTCATTGTTTGTACAGGTAAAATGGATTCTGTCACAGAAATTTGCAGTGATTATAAATCTGCACTAAGCCCTAGGCAGGTTAGAATGTGTAACATAAGCAGGTTAGCATGCTTCCCATGTAACTAAACATTATGGAAAATCTTCCTACTGTTGAGGACGGGATCTATGAGATGAAAGTCAGAAAACTGAAGCCTGAGTTTCCTCCAGTGTGCTTAACACAGAACCAAGAAAGTACATTTTCTACACATCTAAGAACTTACTCTAATGTATACTCTCATGTGTCCAGAAGTTAGGATTTTGGC